GAACCCGCGGGCTGAGGCAATCCACTCACCTCAGCCTCCCAAAGGCGCGGGATTACAGGCTGAGTCACCGAGCCTGGCCCCATTTTCTACTATTGTGGTTTTGGTTTTCGTACAATTTACAGTTTATATTTGGGTTTCATTTTTAGAAGCTTTATTGCTGATGATCAGCTTTATATATTAGGATTAGGAATTAGAAACTTTTATAGAAATTAAGATAGATATATAGGATTTTAGAACAGCCATTTTGTTAAGAGATTGTAATCAATTGTTCCTAGAAACGGCCCAGGGTGATCTTTAGACTGGGCCATTCTTTAGAAACTGGTTTGAACTATAATTAAGAGTTTCTATAGTGCAGGTAGAATTAGCTTGGAACAGAAAGGGATTAGGATTTAAGTTAGTTATTAGGTTTTGTGTATGCACAAGATTTAGAAGTTATTGATTATTAGAATATTATGATGTCAGAATTGTTGTATTGCTTTTGAGGAACATTAACCAAGCATAAGGAACAGTGAGATAATTTTGGGATTGTCCTTCCTCATGCTTGGGAAAACGCCTGGTAGGTGGGGGACGCCCCTCATCCACCTGGCTTTGTGTTCACGTGAAAGTCTTGTGATTTAACCTGTGAAAATTTAGGATAAAAGACTTACGGTTTGTCCCATTAAACGGCTTCTGCACTAGACAGAGTCCAGTCTCTTTCTTTCTCCCCACTTTCCTTTCTTTCTCTTTATATCTATCCCTCCATCTTCCTTTCTTTTAATATCTATCCCTCCAGTTTAATCGCAGACGCCACTTTTCCTACCAGGGACCTCCAGTATCTGCAGGGTCTGGCCCCTCGCAAGTACCTAAATAAATTACAGGGAGGTTACCCATCATTCCAAAGGATTAAAGGGATTTCAAAAAGATCTGCTCATTTTAGAGATGGCACTTGTTATTTTTCATTTCACTCACAGACCGAGACTAAGGGAGTGACACAGCTTCCAAAAATAACAGGTCATTAGAAATATATTTGGAACAACTTAATAAATCAGTGTATTACCTGTCCACGGAACATACTCGGGCATTTTATCTAGTGGTTTTTCTCTTCTGTACAAGGAGTCTCTGCTTTGGCGATAATGACCAGCAGCCTGCAGCATATCCTGGGGACAGGACAGAGTGTCAGTATGTGCACAGAGGGATAGAGAGCAGTACTTCTGAAGGTAACTTGAAGCACCAAGGTCAACTGATAAAAAACATACTCAGTGCAGGTCTGTAGGATTACTTTTTGGTTCTTTCTGCTTTTGAAATTTGTTTTACACCATAATTTAACTTCAATTTTGGGAAACTACAGTAACCAAGGTAGGCAAACCATTATTATAAAGTCCATTAGCTAACATTAAATGAAACATTTTAGTCAATAAATTCAGGTAGCAAGGTTTTGAGCAGTTAAAAAACGGAAATGAGAAATATTTAGATAGTTACATATTCATATGGATACATTTGCAATGATATAAACATCCCTCTCCAAATAAAAGGTTTATGCTACCAAGCAGAAAGTTATTAAGAAAGTTATTAATATGTACAAGGCAAACATCCAAAATAATGGCTAACTGATTGATGACTAATATTCTTCTAACTTTTTGGAATTAACTAGTGGCGAAAACCTTATCAATTATTGGCAATACAAAGCAAGACCATGGAAACCACTTTCCTGTCCAGCCACACGTGGGACTCTGATGTGCTGAACTCTTCGCCATCTTTCTGTACCTTGAGAATATTGTTCACGCTGATCACCACCTCAGCCCATTCAACAGAATCCATCATTGTCTCTTTCAAGACTTGCTCCTCATGCTCCAGCAAGCACTCACAGATGGTATCTACTTGGGACACCTGATAAAGTATATAGACGTCAACTACTTACAACAAAAATTATGATGCTGGGTAACAATTAAAACTATTCAATAGGCTTTACTCATTAAGCCATATTCTCAGATCATTAGAAAGAAGAAAATTTATTGAAAGTTGGTAGCAAAAATAATTTTAAAAACCAAGAAAAATTAGAAACTCCTAAATTTTAAAAGTTAGAGTACTCACATAACTCTTTTATAAATAGGCAAATTCTAGATTGTTACCAAGTAGATGTTTTAATTAAAACACAAAGCAACTGAAACACTTGTTTATTATAGCTATTGGTGCCTAGTGCAAACTTTAAATTGTACTAGGTTATAAATGACATCATTTTACAATGTAAGATCTCAAACTATGAACCAATGGATTAAAATAATGACCTAAACTAAAGAACTTGCTAATTTCTTTGAGGAATTCCCCTTCTTTAGGCATAACAGAAATGTTCATAGAATAAACAGTAAGCAATATGAGAAAATACCAAACTAAATACATAGCTTCCAACTCTTTTGTTGTCAATAATTAACACATGGAGATAACAGTATAAAAAATGTTCACAAGCACTGAAATTCTTGTTTCCAGTTTCATTTTGCAGTTAAGCTTTTCCCCTTAATGTTGAGTTTACACAGCACCAGACACTCAGAGATAAGAGAAAAGAGAAATCTGATTTGCTGCCCTCAAAGAGCTCACAAACTAGCTGAAGGAACAAGACGAAAAATGTGAGCCAAACAAAATTACTCTCTCAGCTGGGCTCGGTGGTTCAGACTGTAATTCCAACACTTTGGGAGGTCGAGGTGAGCGGATTGCCTGAGCCTGCAGATTTGAGACCAGCCCGGACAACTAGGTGAGACCTCGTCTCTACAATAAATAAGAAAATAAAAAATAAATTAGCCGGGCGTGGTAGCATGAGTGCCTGTAGTTCCAACTACTGGGAAGTCTGAGGTGGAAGGATCGCCAGAGCCTAGCAGGTTGACACCAGGGTGGCTGTGAGTGTGCCACTGCACTCCAGCCTGGGCAACAGAGTTAGACTCCAACTCAAAAAAAAAAATTGCTCTCTTCTGCAAACTCTGTTATAGTTTCTGATGTTAACCAAAGGCATACTAATGGCCCAAGCAAGAAACCTTCAGCACATTTAATTAGTAAGATTAAGAATTTTTATACCATAAACATGAAAAACAAAATGAAAGCATATAAAATATAAAAAGCATAAAATAATATAAAAGGAAATGAAGTGCCAAAACACTTGTTAAATACTTTTATCACATGTCTATTCTGTGGCTTCAAATACTGCCCCTATGAACATGGTCTGTTCCTTAAGTGGTAAGCTCTGCTTTTTCAGGTCCCTGGAGGCACCAGGCCTTCCCAAACTAGAGACAGAGGCAAGACGGAGAAGAGTGCACCCTCAAACAGATTTTGCTATTTTACTTTCTGTCAAATCAATCAGAGATTGATTTGGCTTAACTGCTTTTCTTAAGATGCTATCACTCTTGAGGAACATAACTTGCCACCTGAGAGAGGAAGAACAGGTAAAGAAAAAAAAAGACACTCCCTATGTATATTTCTGCCATGTGAATGCATCCCCTCTTTCCAGTTCTCTGTGTTCATCATGGCTATGCCATGTGGGAGTACCCTTAGAACTAGACCCAAGGGTGCCAGGCATGGTGGTTCACACCTGAAATCCCAGCACTTTAAGTGAGGTGGGAGGATCGCTTGAGGCCTGGAGTTTGAAACAAGTCTGGGCAACATAGTGAGAGCTTGTATCTACAAAAAATTAAAATAAAAAAAAAAGCACTACACCCAAGGCAAGCTGAAGACCTGTAGCTATCATGATAAATGAATATAAATTGTGAACGTGAAAAGCTCTAAACATTACCATTTTTTAATATGGAACATTCTTTTTGTAGAGTCAATCACATTTTTAGTTTCACTGTATCAAATTTCTTAAGTACTATTCATATATTATGTATCCAACTGATAATTTCCAGCCCTTTCTCTTACTCAGGAAAGTGTAAACACACTGAATTAATTGCTCTTTGCCCTTTGATCCAAATGCAGAAAAAGGAACCAGGCTCTGGCTCAGTTCTTTCAAGTAATCTGTCATCAATAATTTTTTTAAAAGATTTGTTTCATCATGTAACATTATGCTAAATAAAGAACAAAAAGGATACAAAGATTACAATTTGACTCGTTAAATTATAAAAATTGAGGTGAATTGTTTTTCTTTCTTTCTTTTTTTTTTTGAGTTGGAGTCTCACTCTGTCGCCCAGACTAGAGTGCAGCAGCCGCTCCCGGCCACCGCAGCCTCGGCCTGCTGGGCTCTGGTGATCCTTCCGCCTCTGCCTTCCAAGTAGCTAGAACTATAGGCGTGCACTACCACGCCTGGCTAATTTTTTGATTTATTGTAAAGATGAGGTCTCGCCTGCCTAGGCGGTTCTCGAACCCGCGG